GACGCCTGTCAGCCACAGAACGAGAGAGGGTCGTCTTGCAGGGAAAGCGCAGCGTTGCGTGCGTTGCCGCGGTGCGCGCGTGCATACCCCCTCCCTCAGCCACTGCAAATTAACGCACACCTGCTTGTCAGCAAGCGGCGGCGGAGGAGAGAGCTTGAGCACGAGCTTGTTACCGGGGGCCGGCACGAACTCGAGATTGAGCATGTTGATCGAAAGAATTCCTGCAGAGAGGCAAGAAGCGGTTGAAGGTGGTGTCCCCGATGGGAAGTGCAGGCCAGCGCTCGATGGGGGGTGCAGGCCAGCGCTCAGAGTGGCCCTAACGGCTGCGGACACAGCGTGGGAGAGTAGCAGAAATGCGAGCAGGCGGGAACTTTGCTCGGCGGGCTCAATCTCAGGTCAATCTCGGCTCGTACTCGTAGCAGGAAAGGCAAACGCCTACGGGATGTATGTGGGGGGTATACGGGTATGATAAAATCTCGGGGAATCTCCCCACGAAACGATCAGTCGCGCGATCTCGAGCCCGCCCGCCACCCACCCACCCAGCCCCGCAGCACTGGCGCGATCTCGAGCCAACCCGCCCCTCTCGAGCCTCGCCTACACAGATCAAAAGAATTCAGCCGGCGGCCGCACAAAAAATGGTGCTGCCCAAGGGCATGTGCATGCTGAATGGGAAGAGAGGGCGAGCCGGAGAGGAGAGAGCCGCGCCTACGGGCAGCGGGCCGCGGCGTGAGCGTCGAGACAAGGCCGCCGGCACGCTCTCTCGCGTCCTCGGCGCTCGGACTGGAGCCGGGCGGCGATTGGCGAGCAAGCGAGAGCGGGGGTCGCTCTCTTGCCAGAAGAGAGAGAGGGCGGTCGCGCGCGGGACAAGGGTGGGGAATGGGCAGCAGCGGACGCGTCTCGCGCCCTCCTCCATGGCAGCGGCTGTACCTGCGAGCGGGAGTAGGCAGGCGGTGCGAGCTGAGGGGGGTACAGCCGCTCCGCGAGCGAGAGCGCATCGCACGGTGGGGGTGGTGAGGGGGCGGCGGGTTCCGTGAGCAATAGGCGTCGCGGGGGTCTAGGTGTGCAGCTCGCGGCGGCATAGTCGGGCGCAATGCGGCGCGGCAAGCGCGAGCGGACGAGGAAAGTGCCATGGCTTGCCTGGTGTGGATGTCAGGCAAACGCCGTCGGGGAACATGGGGTACAGGTTCTCTGGTTCTCTGGAAATCCCAGACTTTTCCCATCAAATCCTGGATTTTTTTTCGATTGCACGGAGGCAGGTAGGTAGGAAGGAAGAGTCAATTCACTAGGGAGTGTCAGGCAACGGATTGAGAACAGTGATCCACTAAGAAAATGTCAGCCGCCTGCACTAGCCGCCACGCATCCTCAGCGAATGTAGGGTACATTGGGGACATGGGGTACAGTTTTCCAAAAAAAGAACGAGCGAGATTTAGCCGAGAACGAGCGAGATCTAGCCGAGCTCGACAAGCACCTGGCGGTGGTGCTTCGAGCGTGGTCCGTTCCTAGACCCTTCCATCCTGAGCTGCGAAAGGCCGGGCGGGGGAGCGCTGGCCCGAGTCCTCGTGAGCGTGATTGACAGTGGGCGGCGGTCGGACAACCTGAGGCTCCTCGAGCAGTCGCTGGGCGTGCCGTTGCTGCGTTTCCCCGCCTCAAAGCTCAGATGGGGTGAGGCGCGCCGCAGGTGCGACGCGATCAAACGGCCCAGCGACTACCTGGTCAACCTGGCGCATGCCCACTTGCTCAAGCACGCGCGGCACTGCTTTTTCGAGCGGGGCATTGCCACCGCCGTCCTTGCCTTCGAGGACGACGCACGCTTCGCCGTCGCCAACGGAGGTGCCGCGCTCGGGGCGGCGCTCAACGAGGTTTGAGGCCCGATGGCAGCGCCCGAGACTGACAAGCAGAGCAAACTCAGCCCGTTACCCCGCAGGCCCCCGACACGGCAGACTTTGTGCACCTTGGATGGTGCTCCGCGCCCAAGCACCCCGAGTGCCTCCATGCCTACGTCCTCACGCGCTCCGCCGTGGACATCGCTCTTAACCGGACGGCGGCGTGCGGCCGACGGCCAATGGACCAGCAACTCTCGGCGCTCGCCCTCGGCGGCGTGCTCTCCCGCCACTTTCCGCGCAAGGAACTCTACCGCGCAGCTCCGACGCACTGGACTCGTGGCCTCTTCCACCAGGCGTCGGAAACCTACAAGACGCTGCAGAGCTGTGACCCGTCCCCGGCGAGAGCGCTCAGGATGGGGGTGCCGCCGTGCCGCGCGCCCCAGAAGAACTGGACCATCCTGGAGAACTAGACAGACTCTGGAGGCGGCCATCCCATCTAGAGGGGGGGCCGGTGACAAAGAAAATCAGAAAAAAAGAATTTACCAAAAAAGAATTTCCCCGAGAGAGAAGGATAGCCTGCAAGCCACACCGGCGCTTCCGCCAACCAGCCTGTCATCGTCTCACTCGAGGTGTCTTATGCTGCCCCGTCAGTCCGTCCTACGCAGCGCTGCCCGGCACTGCTCCACGCGAGGCACGCCGGTGGTTGGCGTATTGGGTTCGGGGCAGATGGGCGGAGGCATCGCGCAGGTAGCCGCGGTGCAGGCCGGCTGCAAGGTTGTGCTGGTGGACGTCAAGCAGGAGCAACTGGACAAGTGCATGGGCCTGATGGACAAGCTGCTGGCGAAGGACGTGGCGAAGGACCGCCTGACGGAGGCGGATAAGGCAGCGGCGCTCGCGCGCATCACAACCTCGACCGACATGTCCGCCTTTGGCGGTGCCAGCTTTTTGATCGAGGCGGCGACGGAGAACGTGGGCCTGAAGCTGGACCTGTTCCGCGCCATGGACAGCGTCGCGCCGTCCGGCGCCATCCTCGCCTCCAACACTTCCTCCATCTCGATCACCAAGATGGCGGCCGCCACGGCGAGGCCCGAGGCGGTGATTGGCATGCACTTTATGAATCCGGTGCCAGTGATGAAGCTGGTGGAGGTGATCCCGGGGCTGGCGACGAGCGAGGCGACGCTCGCCGACACTCTCGCGCTCGCCACTGCGATGGGCAAGACCTGCACGCAGAGCCGCGACATCCCCGGCTTCATCGCGAACCGGATCCTGATGCCGTACATTAACGAGGCCGTGCAGACTCTGTA